ACCTTTTGCAGTGAATAGGCCAGATATGGAAGCAGCGATTCATGTTAGTCTGTCAGAAGAACGTAAGTGACCCGATTTTGCATGGGCTAAACCCCACTTTTGGTTAAAGCCCATTAGCAGTGTTGCCTGGGTTCAACAAATATTTACTTTATAATTTTAGAGGAATGACCTTATCATTGGTACTTACTACTATGTCAACATTTCTATGTAATCATCAATTACATCCTTTTTATATTATGTCACATGACAATGCATCATTAGACTATTTTAATTTTTGATAGTCTTTCCCCTGTCAACACTTGACACCGCTTGTAATGTCAACAAAATAGTGTACACATGACTTTTTCTTTCTACGTTATGTAACTTGTAATCATTTGTTATAGTCAAAATACTTTGAAAAGAATTAGTCCAACATTTAGAGAGTGTTTGGTTGTTTATATTTCCGTGAGACATTTTTCACTATACTTTTTACTTTTTAAGTGTTAGATGGACAATTTTTTATTTTTCAACTTTTGCTTATGTGATCATATATATACATATATATAGGAGTGCATTTTCTTTAGATTGAAGTGATTTTTTTTTTCAGGTAATTCACTCTCTCTTTCTCTCTCGTCTACCAATCAATATAAAAATAGATAAGTATAATATTTTTTTAGGTTGAAAACTAAATCAATCAAACACATTTAGGCCCCGTTTGATTTTATTTTTTCAAAAAATACATTATTCAATAGTGATTTGACATAATTTCAACCATACACTTTTCAAAAAAATAATATTACATGCAAATCCAAAAATTTTTCCTTATTTTTTTTAATAACATATTTTCCATAAATACACTATTCAAAAATGCAAAATACATTCTTTTGAAAATAATGTGACTCAAACAATGGCTTAATTAATAATTTTCATACAAACAATTGAATTGCCCAAAAAATATTTTATTTTCATACAAATTTCATGCTTTTAATCAAACCCACCCTTGGTTTATTTTGTAGTACTAAATAATTATTTTATAGACTTATTATGTTAGGAAAAAAATTAATTTTAATTAAGATAAATTGTATATCATTACACATAATTTTGGGTCGATAACTAATAATGATTCGTATATCTTAAAAATGGGAATAATTTTGTTAATATAATATACAAAATTAAACAATAAAAAATATATCCATTATAACTAATAATGCCCTTGTTTGAGCCCCATTTTTTTGGGGTAGAATGAATTTTTGAATAGTGTATTGATTGGAAATGTGTGGTTAAAAAATAGGAAATTTTTTGGATTTACCTGTAATATTGTTTTATTAAAAATGTGTTGTTGAAATGATGTCAAAATACTGTTGAAAAATGAATTTTTCCAAAAGAATTGGGCTCAAACAAGGGCAATGAGTTCACAAAATCATTAATTTAAAGATATAAAAATAAATTCTGACAAATAACTTAAAAATTCTAACTTAAAAATCGTTAATTCAAAGAAGTATTTTAATTAAACTTTTTTTATTTTTTTTTTATTTTAAGTAATAACCCAATACTTTGCCTGGATTGGGATTTGGGTCTAATGACCCAGCACACTTGTCATCAATTTTTTTAACCGAATTAAAAGTAGTAACAATTTAGTCAATGCAAAGAAAATACACATGCGCCATTAATTCATCGATTCCCATCACCCCTTCTTTCAACACAAACTTCACAACAATGGTTAACAATAACAAGAAATCTCACTGACTTTACATACTTTTTGGAGAAGAGAAACAAGCAGAGGAATTTGATAAATACAGTAACAGTTTTTAGGATTTCGAAACTAAATACATAAAATACATTCTCATGGAAGATCATACATTCGCAATTTTTAAAAGTACTATGAAACATACCTTAATCGATCAATCAGCGACTCTTTGTCGACCTTTTGCAGTGAATAGGCCAGATATGGAAGCAGCGATTCGTTCAAGTCCTTGATTTTTTCTTCCTTCTTCCTAGTTCGGTTGTGCGAGTATTTGATTTCTTGTTCCTTTTTCTGGTTTTTTCTTCCGTTTTAATGGTTTTGTTTCAATGGTGTGTGGTGAGAGAGGATTTTGTACGTGGTGAAGAGAAGGGGAAGATTGGATATGTGAGTAGGTGGAGGACTTGATAAAATAGAATTTTTAGGAAATTTGAATTTCATGGAAAATAAAATCCCACTACACCCAGAGAATATTTTCCTTGCTTCCAAGGAAAATCTGGTCACGTGATTAAAAGTGGGAAAATATTTTCTACAGAAAAAAGTTAATCAAATAGCACAAAAATGAAAATTTAGGTGGAAAAAAGATATTTTTCATAAAAAATGTTGACAATCAAACTAGGGGTGAACGCGGTTCGATTTGAGTGATTTGTGCTATTTTTTCAACTCAAACCATTTTATACGATTTAAAATTTTTTCAAACCAAACCATAATTTGCGATTTGGTTTGATTTTAATCCGCGATTTACCATCGACATTATTTTAATGTATTTAACATAAGTTAACATGTAAGTTTAAACGAGAACTAATAATGTTAAATATTAAATTACATTCATATTTACCAATAAACTCACAAATAAATTATTTTCAAAATTGGTTGCTAAAAGATATTAATAGAACAAATATGTCTTTCTTCATCTTTATTTATATTTTATTGTTTGACATTCATATTGTCGTATAGCGGTTTGTAAAGTTAGAGTTACATTCTTTTATTATAGTTTGGTTAAAATTCCTTTTGTTATGTTAGTGAGATATTAAATAGAGATTGAACGGGATATGTTTAGATATATGAAGATTTATAGAGTCTCTATTTATTGGAAATTGATGAATTTCCTTCTCTAACTATTTTATGGAAGTAGAAGGTAGTGGTATTAGTTAGGGAACTTTAACATTTTTACACAATCAATATGCTTCATCCTTCGTTCTTTCCAAACTGTAAACAAGTTCATTAATTATCTAAGGCTGCAAACAATCATTTTTCTATTCAAATCATAACTCATACATGTATGATAAGTTCAAAAGTAACAAATGAAAGAAAGAACGATAGAAAAATGGTTTGAATGAGAATATGAGATTTACTGAAAGAGAAGAGAGAAAGAGGTGATTTCGGTAGAAATTGACAGACTAATAGGCAAAGACGACTGGTGATCGTTTAGCAGTGGCAGACAAGTTTCAAATGTTAGGAAAATGAGAATTTATGTTAGGGCTTTCGAAACATTGGACGTGATCTGTTTAAAGTAATTTTGTTGAATTATGATTTAAATTGTCAGTTTAGATATTAGGCGAGGACATGTGTTTTGTACTTTTTAAATCATATGCCAATAACAATGAATCTAATTTACTTTCTATGATTATTTCAATAGGCCGGTTGTATTTCGTATTGCTAAATTAATATTTTTTCTGAAAAGTGAAGCTATAAAATTTTTAAATTAATAAACTTAATATTTTAATTAAAAAATTTTAAAAACGATTCGATTTGATTTTGTGCAGTTTTTAAAAATCAAAATCTAAACCAAACTATTTTGAAACGATTTGTGGTTCGATTTGAGGGAAAAAACCACAGGTCCATGATTTTGATTTTTAAAAACTGCACAAAATCGAATCGAACTGTTTTAAAATTTTTTTAATTAAAATATTAAGTTTATTAACTTAAAAATTTTATAGCTTCACTTTTCAGAAAAAAATATTAATTTAGCAATACGAACCAAACACACCCTATGTTTCAAACAATATTACTCGGTTATTTTATTTTATTTTAGGCTTCGTTTGATTCCCATTTTTCTCAAAATACATTTTTCTCTTTTTTTTTAACCACACATTTTTCATTAAAATAATATTATACGTAAATTAAAAATTTTTCATCCACACATTCTCCATCAATCTACTATTCTAAAATTCATTTTTCCTTAAAAATGAGAGTCAAAACACCTCTCATTAAACATTTTAAAAAGGGTAACTGGCACAAAACGTCCCTACCTTTCAAGTCTATTGTGAAAAACGTCCCTACCTTTCATTTTTTGGCATTTTTGCCCTCATCTCAACCTTTCTTTGCGCTGGACGTCCTTCCGTCCATATTCCGTCAGTTTTTCCGTTAAATATTCGGGTAATTGGTACAAAAAGTCCCTACCTTTCAAGTCTATTGTGGAAAACGTCCCTATCTTTCATTTTTTGGCATTTTTGCCCTCATTTCAACCTTTCTTTGCGCTGGACGTCCTTCCGTCCATATTCCGTTAGTTTTTCCGTTAATTAAATACAAAAATACCTTTTTCTTTTCATAAACAAGGGTAAAATTGTCCTCACCCACTTCACCCCTTTTTCCCGCCATCAACTTAGTCCATAAGTAACAGTAGCAGCAACATGAATCTGAAAATACTTTAAATGATTAAGTTAAATAAAGAAAAAATATCGTGAACACATTATATTTCACAATTCCACAACTACTATTGCTGTCATCTTGTGTCACTGGAAAAATTTAGAAAGACATATTAAATGGGTAGTGAATTTATAATGAGTTAATTTAAAATGAGCCATTCATCTTCTCCATTAAGCCAAAAAGAGCCATTCACCATTTTGACTCATTATAAATTGACTACCCATTTAATATGTCTTTCTAAAATTTTCCAGTGACACAAGATGACAGCAACAGTAGTTGTGGAATTGTGAAATATAATGTGTTCACGATATTTTTTCTTTATTTAACTTAATCATTTAAAGTATTTTCAGATTCATGTTGCTTCTACTGTTACTTATGGACTAAGTTGATGGCGGGAAAAAGGGGTGAAGTAGGTGAGGACAATTTTACCCTTGTTTATGGAAAGAAAAAGGTATTTTTGTATTTAATTAATGGAAAAACTGACGGAATATGGACGGAAGGACGTCCAGCGCAAAGAAAGGTTGAAATGAGGGCAAAAATGCCAAAAAATGAAAGGTATGGACTTTTTCCACAATAGACTTGAAAGGTAAGGACGTTTTGTGCCAATTACCCATTTTAAAAACATCCACCAACACATGTTTCAAGGAATCAACTGGAGCCGTTGAGCACCGGGCATCAGCATCAGCCCGCAAAATGTCTGCGATACTCCGATACTGCAAACTCCGCCGCTTAACCACTACAATTGCCCTACTTTCCCCGCACGCTTCCTCCAAATTCCACACCTCCATCGTCAAACCCCCACCGCTCGTGTCGCCTCACTTCCTTTTTCGCCAAACCCTACTCTCGAAAATATCAAGGGGGAAATTGGGATTGCAGGAGCGTCACAAATGGGACAGAAGCTCCGACGAATACGATCAGATCAAAGCCGAGGTGAACTGTCCCCGCTGCTCCAAGCTCATGACGGTGCTATTCTCGAATAGACCGCTTTCAATTTCCGGTGGTGAAACGGGAATTTACCAGGCAGTGAATATGTGTTACAGTTGTCGGACTGCATTTTATTTTCGGCCGTTTAAGCTTGAGCCTCTGCAGGGGAGTTTTGTGGAGATAGGAAGGGTGAAAGGAGGGAGGGAGAGTTCTGGGAATGATGGTGGAAAGAATGAGGTTAAAGTTTGGGAGAAATTGCGGTCTTATAGTGGTGAGCAAGAGAAGAATGCAGATGCCAACACTGACAGTAATTGTAATCTAGAGGGGAGTAATGTGGGTTCCACCATGGGAGCTGAGGGTGGTAAAGCGAGGAAGGAGCTGCCAACGCCAAAGGAGATATGTAAGGCGCTCAATGATTTTGTTGTTGGGCAGGATAGGGCAAAAAAGGTCCGGTTTTCATTTTGGAATCTGTGTCGTTATTATTGTGGTAGTGCATTCAATACTAAGCTATATGCAACATTAGATTCTGCTATTGTTTAATATTTTGATGATAATGTTCCGTGAATTGCTTTTTGTTACTTTTTTCTTGTTGGGCCGTGCTCTTACTTCCATTGGACTAATGGTTTTTGTTGTTGCATAGAAATATACAATGATGAGTGCTAGGATGCATATCCTTAACTTTCCAATTTCAGACTTTGTGTTTGGCTACCAGAGCTCGATTAATACACGAATTCCTGACGCACATCAATACTCGCATGTATATATTTATACATACAAAAGAATGTTAGTTGGAAGATTTGTATGGACTCTTTGAAGTGATATTTTGTGGATTTTATAATGGATAGATAAAAAAATGATAATATATTCTAACAAAAGAGTGGTAGATCAAAATAAGCATGACTGAAGCTATGGATGGAAAGGAATGACATAAGTGATGTATGCAACTGATTCCAATTTATAATTTTTCTCTGTTTTGTTGTAACACATATTGATGCAGTGCATGTCTTGATTTTGAAGTTTGCTGATTGCATTTGTTTATTCTTTCACTTTTCTAGTAAACTACGAAGAACTCATCTGTCGACATAGGCGATGAACCAAACAGATGGTATTCAAAATTATTTTGAGAATAGCTTCCAGAGTTTATTGCTTGACAAAAGCATATAATATTTGTGTACATGAAAAGATTATTTGTTGCATCATACTTAAAATAATTTAGCTTCTGTTCTTCAAACTGTCAGTGTGTTGTATAAGATCTTGGAGCTTATCTGTGGAATGAATTTATTCACATGACAGGTCCTTTCCGTGGCTGTTTACAACCACTACAAAAGAATATATGATACTTCTGTACAGAAAGAGTGAGTTAACTTCTTCAGTTATCCTTTGTGGAAAATTAGTTTTGTTTCTTGCCCACTAAATATATAGAAGATCTGCACAAAACATCTTTTTGGATTCAAGGATCTGGCAAGCTTAGTTTCCTTGATGTCACATGCTCACACATGTTGAGTAGGATTGCATTAAATTCTGAAAACATAATCGCACATTGACACAAATTACATGAATATGCTTACAAAATAAGAAAAGAAAAAGAAGATCCTAGTCCTAGCTTTGAAAATGATTGCGGAAGGACCATCAAAGTTCAATAATGTTCATGTCTCAAATATATTTTCAACAAGGTCACTTTCTCATGCTCTTTTGTTTAAATTCATCCCTACGATCATTTCCCTGTATTATAAATTGTGGTGCATTCCATTGATATAATTTTTTCAGACTCATTATGATGTTTTAGAAAGTATCTGTCATATTAATCTTAGATAATGGGGGGAGCAACTATGATGTTGTATATAGGGAAATAATTCTAATTAGTATTAATTTTGAAATTACAGTATTCTCATCAACGTTAGGTATCTAGCCCGCCATTCATTGACTTAGTCCAGAATAAAAAGAGAAGTTTCATGCAATAATGATAAGCAGGAAGCATTTACTTTTCATGACTAAGTGTTCCTCTTATGTATAGAATTTGATGACGGAACAGCCTAAAAGCTTCTTAATACTATGTCTAAATATTGAAGACTATGTTTCTATTGGTCCCCTTTCATGTAAAATTTGATTACTGTTGGCTTTTTTCTTGAATGAAGTTTAAAGTAGTATAGTGATGCAAACAGCCTGAACTATCTTTGTTATATTCTTTTCTTTTGGGTTAAAATTATGATCAGACACATTAATGATCAAAATACAGAAAGGAAACCCCAAAAGTAAGGATTATTAGATATGTCAGACAATTATATTTATTTCGGGATTATTAGATATGTCAGGCAATTATATTTATTTCCCAAAATATATTTTTTCGCTAAATTGCATCTAACACCTTGGTAAATTTTCTCTTTTTTCCTTGTCTTTTGCTAAGTAATGTGTTGGTGTTAGAGCTCAAAAATGCAATTTGTGCAAGATTTTCAATCCCCTCTTTTTTTGTTATGCATTCTGAGCATAATATATTACTTTCTTCCTTGTTCCTTTATAGGTTGCTGATTTCAATGTAGAAGCGGCTCAGCGTGGGATAATATATATTGATGAAGTTGATAAAATAACAAAGAAGGTCTTGCAATTGCAAAAATATTTAATGAATTTTAAACTTAATTCTTCTTTGTTGCTTGCTAATTTATCTCCTTCAACGTGCAGTCTGAGAATTTGAACATTGGTAGAGATGTATCAGGAGAGGGTGTTCAACAGGCACTGCTGAAAATGCTAGAAGGAACTGTGAGTTTTATATTTTTGCAGTATTCTTCTGTGCTTCGTGCAAGTGACTTGACCCTTAAAAACTCATAAGGAGACATCACACTTTGCCTTTACTTTGTTCTTTTGCTTTATTGCTATTGTACCTCCTTCTTTATGGACTGATCTAAACTTTATCCTGGTTGATGTTATTACTGTAGTAGTGATTATGTGAGCCTGTGTTTTGTCCTAGATTGTAAATGTTCCTGATAATAGAGCTAGAAAGCATCAACGTGGTGATAGCATTCAGGTATACGGAAACTTGAATCATCGTTGATTAAATTTCAGATTTTTTTTTTTTTATATTATAGATGGATTTTGTAGTCACTTGTATTCTCTTTTGTGCTACTTGCTTTATATAGCACATATATATACTGCTTCAAATTAACTTAATTCATCAATGTAATTTTTTTACTTATTTAGAGGGATAAATTCTTGTCTTGCTTGGTTGTCTTCTGAATAACTTAAATCAATGCAGATGGTCATCTGAGTTGACATGTTCTCTTCTTCTGATAGCTTCGCTTATTCTTATTATCTGGTTTTAAATTCCATGTGTTCAGAATATGACAATCTAAATTTCTCTCTCCTATCTCCCTTTCATGTAAAGAAATAGCTAGAACAAATCAAATAAGATAAGTTGTGACAGATCAAACACATCCAACTTCAGGCTGATATGAAGCATGTGAGAGAACTGGTTAGAAGAAAATTGGCGAGTTTTCCAGTGGAGATAGAGAACACCACATACTGTATTATGTTTGCATGTACATCATTTAAATATACATTAAGCATGTTAGCAACTGCATATCCTATCTACCCATGGACAGATATGTAAGCATATGTTTCATATTCGTTAGTCATAGTAATTGTCAATTGAAAAGGATTAACCAAGTACTGAGGTGCTCGTAGGTGAGGCTTAAGCCTCTACTTGGACTAATAAATAATTCAAAAGAACATAGAAGTATAAAAATTATGCTTATAATAAATAATACATCATCTTACAAAATTCATAATAAAACAAATTGACAAAATTACAAGTTTAGCTTGTTAACAAACATAAAATAAATTAGTGAATGAAAAGAAAATAGCCCACAAAGCTAATGCTAGTAATAGAATGTACTGAAAATGCAAGACATGCTGGCAAACACATTTTGTTAAAGCCTCATTTGAGGCATAATCCTCAATTAATTATTTTAAACAGTGGTCAACAATGTCTAGATGATGATTATTCTTCCTATTTCATTGAGATAACTGACAGATAGATACAAAAGATATCCTATTCATATGCGGTGGAGCCTTTATTGATTTGGAGAAGACCATTTCCGAGAGGTAGTCCCCCCTTTTTCTGTTTCTTTTGATGAATGTCAATTACATATAATGTTTAATACATCCGAAAGGTTTGTGTTCATTATTATTTTTCTCCCAGACGACAAGATTCCTCAATTGGTTTTGGAGCACCGGTCCGTACTAATATGAGACTTGGTGGGCTAAATAATCCGACAGTGGCCTCATCTCTGTTGGAACATGTGAGAATCAACATAATGTGTAATGTTTTGTGTTGAGATTTTTCTACACTTCTTTTAATCTTTATCTAAATATTACCCAAGTAAATGGCCTGAAGATTGCTTTTGGACTTCCAGATAGAAAGTAACGACCTTACTTCTTATGGTCTCATACCTGAATTTGTTGGACGATTTCCCGTTTTGGTGACCTTGTCAGCTCTAGATGAAGACCAACTTGTTCAGGTTATTCTTTCCCCTTCATCAATAATTTTTGTTCTACTAACTCTTGATGTCTTTTGATGACTTGGGGCCTGGAGGTTGGCTTCCATTCCTGAAACTCTAAGCTATGATCCTGTGAGAAGAAAATTGCATTCACATGATTATATCCTGTATATGGAAAGGAAAAGGTCCAGATTGTTTGATTTTTACGTGATAATGGAGAGAAATAAGATAGAAGACTGTTAATTTGTTGTATATTTGAGAATGTTGGAAGAGAAATATCGACGCTTATTTAACTACGGGAATCGCCCAACCCAACGGAGGAAAGAAAAGGAGGCAAGAGGGAAGAGGGAGGAACAACTCTGACATTTATTCCCCTTGCACTTTTTTATCAACGAATGATAAATGAGACTAAGCCAAAGATGCTACCTTTTCACAGATGGCAACCACAACTCAACCATGCACTAAACTCATATACCCAATACATTAAGGATTGGCTGTATGAATCCTTCTCCATCACTCTACAAACCAGCTAGATCCTTATTAACCACAACAAATTATATTAGTTTTGGTCTACCCTTCCCTCTTCTAACCTATTCTGCCGAGATTGCATCAATGCTATGAACATGGACCTCTTTAGGTCCATGCAAGATATAGCCCAACCACATATATCCTCCTCCCCTTAATTTATGCTGTTAGCATACATGTTTATTTCTTATCCTATTGATTTTAGTATGACCACACATCCATTTAACATCCTCATTTCTGCTGCATTCATCTTATGCTTCCCTTCAACGGAGGAGCAAAAAAAGTATACTTATATATGAATAGTAAAAGAAGCTGCTCTTTTTGAAGTTGGCTTGGTCTCTGAATATTCAAAGTTCTGTTTTTCTGAGTTCTTTGTTATATTGGTTTTATAGGTTCTTACTGAACCAAAAAACGCTCTCTGTAAACAATACAAGAGGATGTTTGGAATGAACAATGTAAGCTTATAATTCTGTATCGATAATATTCAGGAATTATGTTACCATTTTATCTCTTTTCTCTCGAATTTTAATATAATGGGTCTTCCACTTTCTTCATTATTCACTTGATTTACAGGTCAACTTACAGTTCACAGACGATGCCATGAGGTTGATTGCAAAGAAAGCAAAAGCCAAAAATACTGGGGCACGAGGTTTAAGGGCCATATTAGAAAATATTCTGACAGAGGCCATGTTTGAGGTATAATTCAGTAGGCCTATTTTCATGCTTTTCATATCATGCAAAAGCTAGAGTTAGGAACCTTGGAATTTAGGTTTCGGCTCTTATTGCATTTTTACAATTATAATGTGGATATAATTCCATTGAAGCCACAAGTATTAGAGAGAAGGATAATTGACTCCCCTTGACAATAGTTGAAATGCTAGATTTTGCTTTGAATGAACTGTTTTGCTGTTAAGGTATGTCAGTGCACAACCAGTTTTCTCATGTGTCCATGGTTGCATTCCAATTTATGTGCAACACTAATTTATCATCTCACTCCTTAAACCAAGATAGCACATTCCGTAGGACGGATTGGATAACACTATGCATTATCAAAAAGGAAAAAAAAGAAGGTAAAATCATGTTCATCATACTGTCCAATAGAGCGTATCAAATGTGCACGGGGCATCTATGTGGTAGCGAGATGCTTATAAATTCAGTTTTCTTTTGAGGCTTGAACATGAAGGCCATTCTTCAGTCCTTATTTATTGCCTGCTTAATTTACAAAATTATAGTGCTTGTGTGTCAAGCTGAGATTGCTGTGTTGACTAGATGGCAAGTTGCAAGATTTTCCGTCTTTCTAGCCTACCTTCTTAAATTGTCTTGTGCTACTTCTAGATTCTATCAGCTTTTTCTGTAATACATGGTGACCTAATGATAAAGTAATGCTCGAAGGTTCCAGACGCAAAATTCGGAAAATACTCCGTAGACAGAGTTTTGGTCGATGAAGAGGCTGTTGGTACACTAGATACACCTGGACATGGAGCAAAAATTCTCCGCAAAAATACTGGGTCAGACAAAATCGCTAGTCAAACAAAATCAAGAGTTACAAAGGTATGCACTCTTATTCCCATGTACATTGGCTTCTGAGCTCCTTGGAAGCCAGTCCGGCTGTTTTATGCTTTCATTCTTGCATTAACTGCAAGTTGGAAGTTCTTCTAGGAAGAGATTACATAAACATTATTTTCTCTCAGTATCGCTAGCCACCTTCATTTATTGGCATTTTGACTTGATTACATGAACATTTGTTTAATTTCATCCACTGCTGCACTCATCAAGGGTTGTGGTACCAGATGGAGCTAAAAATGTTATTGTGCCAGATTAAGCCCCCTGTTTGACTCCCTTTAAAACAAAACATTTATTTTTCATACTTATTTTCAACCACACACAAAATAAATTATTTTGCATGTAAACCCAAAATTTTTCCTTACTTTTTAACCACACATTCTCCAAAAAATCAATATTCAAAACATCATTTTTACACAATAATGCCCATCAAACAGTGGCTAACTTTTCCTTGCTTCCTTATTTTGAGTGTTAATGAAAACTGTCTTGCATCGTAGTTGTCATATTTTATGGACCGACCCTCTTTCCGGTGTTCTACTGTTGGCTCAATAAAGTTTAGAGAATTACCTTGTCGGCTCAATAAAGTCTGGAGATACTGCCGTTTTAATCGTCTTCCATTCTTAGGAATATAACTCTATTTGTGGCCATGCTAGCATTGGAGTGATTAGATACTGTAATTGGATTATCCACATAAACTTTGTTTAATTTTGTCATTTCAGACCCCCCCCCTTGCCCCCTTCAAATATTTGACTTGATTACAGGAAGAAGTTGCACCAACGAAGGGAAGCGAACGGGAAGATTTAGATGATTCAGTTACAGCCATGAGCCTGTAATAGGTCTTTTTTTGAGTATACGTGAACTTTTTTGTATATATGCATAATCTTATAATTTGTGAGACAGTTCTTCCGTTCCAATGTTTTCCAGTCTTAATGGTAGCCTTCCTTCGACCTGGACAAGGTCGGACCCGACGTTCTTGAAAAGCCGGTTATCAGTGTGGGCCCATATTTAATTATATTTTAATTTTAAAAGAAATTATTTTTAACATAAAGAATTAAGGCCCCTTTTGAACCCCATTGATTTGAAGTAATGTATTGTAGAATAGTGACTGATAGGGAATGTGCGATTAAAAAAGAAGGAAATGTTTTTGACTTACATGTAATATTATTTTAATGAAGAATGCGGTTAAAAATGAGTACCGTAAAAAGAATAATGGGAATGAATATAAAAGAATGGGGGCTCAAACAGAGGCTAAAATACTACGATTACCATTGAGCTTGTGCAGCTCGCGAGCCAAAAAAAGAAAAAAGAAAAAGGGCAAAATGCAGCAAAAGTTAGCATAAAGTACTTGTTTGATCCTCATTTTCTACTGAATTTATTTTCAATCGTATATTTTATGACTTTTATCAATTTTTTAATTAGATATTTTATTAACTCTCTTTAAAAACACAAGCAGGGGTGAGGTGTGAAGTTGGGAAGGCTTTTTTCAAGTATTTATTGGGGGGCAGAAGTACCTTTTTTTTTTTTTTTTTTTTTTTTTTTTTTTTAAATTTCCAAAGGCATCACGTATAAAATTACTCAAATGTCCAAGTTTCGTCTGATGAATTTTGAGGAGTGATGTCCTACCTCATGGTTTGCCACCTAGGTAAATTCGGATCGGTCACAATTTATATACACTTGGACCGAACATTTGGAATGTGGTTATTCTTCCTGTAGACGTGTCTTTACGATATGTGTACAGGATCTTTGGAAGGATGATAAAGCGCACCATAACTTTGCCTTCATAGGACAATTGCCTTTCAACATAAATGTTGCTTTCTAGTTGTTGCGGGAATTCGAACCTTCAATGCTTTAGATGCATTTGCAAGCCATTGTTTGGAGAAGATGGAAGGCTATTTGGCCCGACTAGTTAATATTGATCACACATCAATTTCTTCCGTGCATGCTCATATAATTGATGCAAAAGATAGATTTTGGCTTTAGAAATTTGAACGAGGTTATCCTTTCTCCACTATTCATTACTCCTACTCATTATTGTATTATATTCGAATTTTGGTCTTACGTCCTAGGTTGGTTTTTTTCGGGTTGAAAGCGAGAGAGCATATTCAAATCTTTCGACGATCCTACCGGTAAGGATGGTGTAACTGGAAGTGGTAAAGCACTGACCGAGTTTCAGAAGAGGGAAAAGCATCTACATCTCAAAAGGAGCAAACATCAAGACTGCTGATGATTAGACAATTTTTATTTTTTTTTCGTCCCGTTCTAGTGTTCCTCTTCATCAAACTTGTTTAGATTCAAACCACTTTTAGATTGGAACTGGCAGTAATGCAAAATGCACGATTAACTGCAGTATAATTCTACAATTTGGGAAGTTTAAAACAACCAGTTATGCTATTTGTACAATATTTTTTACAACTTGGTTTACAATGCATGACTTGACAAACATCACATTCATCTATTTGAGATACTGTTTTTAAAATCAATGACTATAATTTTTCCAGCACACATTTTGTCAATCAAGTTGTGCAAATATATTATACAAGTGGCTTTATTCTAAAACAACAATATGTGAATGTTTGATGGTATAACTGAGTCACAACAAAAACTTTGGTTTTATTTTTTATTTTTATTTTTATTTTTGAATAATGCTAGTTGTTCATAAGGAGTTGTATAACGGTTTAGATGAATTGTAAAAATAAAAATTGGAATTTTTTATTATTTTACTTTTTTGGGATTGAAGAAATTCTGACTTGAACCATATCATGTATATGTGATACAATCAGTTTATTTATTTACTTATTCATTTGTATAAGCATTTCGTGGTTTCACGTAGAAGTGATAAGCTTGCTTAGGGATGACAAAAAAATCCGTTAAACCTAATACCAACGGGCTCCGTCTCGAACGAGGTGGGGTTTACCCATTTAATTGGGTATTCGAGATGGGTTTGGGTGGGGAACTTCACCCTGGGGCGGGTATTCGTCCCATTAATTAATTAATTTTAAGAATTCAATAGTTTAAAAGGAAAATTTCATGAAATTTTCACAATTTTAATAAAAGATGACAACTAAAATTATTTAAGAAATATAATAAACAATAAAATTCTTAGTTTATCAAATATATTTGAATAATTTAACTTTTAAAAATAAATAAATGAATTAAAAATTTTAGTAATTATATTATTGTCTTACTTTAATGAACGAGGACATTAAAATGGATTATCAAAGATTAAATTAAAAAAAGACGGGTACATAAACGAAAGGCTCCGCCCTGTCCCGTCCCGCCTTAAACGGGTAACGGGGCGAAAAATGCCCAATGGGACGAGAGGTCGAGGGAACCCACCCTATTACCATCTTTAAGCTTGCTATTAGTACAAATGGGTGCTTCAGCCTTCTATAATGTAAACAAGAGTGTATAACATTGGCAAGGTCATTCCATATCATAAAATGTGTCGCATGCACCATTTTAGTCTTGGTTAGATCTAAATGTTGCACTAATCGCTGAATGGTTGATTACTTGAATTCAGTATGAGCTTGCAATGGAATGATAATCATGTATCTAATTAATAAAGTCAATACATTAAATCACTCTCATACTTTGTTAGAGCGATCTCCTAGATTAGAGGAGGTACAAACGTGAAGAGTCGTAAAGAAGAGTTGGCATTTCACCGATTTATTTGTTGGAGACAACTTATAAAAATGGCTATATAAAGGTTGATTTTTGATATATTTGTTTGACTAATTTTAATCCGCAAGAGCGTGATCAAAGCACAATTTATATGAATGAAAATTTGGATAGAGTTTCGGTATAACGATTACGCAAAACAAGAATTAAGAAGGAGTAGAAATAGAGAATAATCCAAGGTGAGACGTTATCTCTTTCCTTAAGACAAATTACCTCCCTACGGTGCTCACGGTGAATTGCACTTGTCTCCTAAGATACAAGGGACTCACAATTTGTGGTAGCAGCACTTCAAACTACAAGAAATCGACTAACTTTTGACAGAATTTCCCCTCTATAAAAAAAATGCATGAAAATGCTATGGAATTAGAAATGAAAGAAATGCAAGAGGAGAATGAATGCTCAATTCAATTAGTGTATCCAAAACTATGTCCATAGGGTCCTATTTATAGATGTAGAAAGGGTGCAAATGAAGTAGTGTGGGCTAAAACATGCATCATTTTGAAAAGTTGCAACACTTGGCCAAAATCTGCATCTTTTCGAAAAGTTGCAATACTTTATTTCTTCCAACTTTGGTCCGTAATTTATCATTCATCCAGAATCGATTTCGAGATTTCAAATATACCATGACGATCTACTCGTCTACTCGACGAGTAGAATAAGTTGGTATGTTTACTTTTGTAATTTGACGATCGGATTCAAGTCCGAATATTTGGTTGAAGTTGACATGTCGTCACACATTTTCATTTTCCAATTTGTGGTTAATTATTTGAACCAATTCCTCCAATTCCCCACATGAATGGAAATTCGGGTACACATATGAAAATGCGATGATATGATGCAATGTAGAGAGGATACGGAAAAATACTGCATCATGGATGGTGGCTTCTGACCTTGAACCTCCCTTAATGAAATACTATCGTACTTACTCGGCTAATTGGTGAACCATAAGTCTTAAACCACTCAGCCTTTGGTGTAAGTCAAGAAAAAAGTACTCACACAGATATCTTTCCTATTATGTACTTAGTTCTTATGACTTGATTCATTTTGGCCCTGAACCCATTTGGTTTCATAAGTGTTTAGAGAATTCAAAGTAATTCATTCTGCCCTACTCCACTTTGGTTTCATAAGTGATTCATTCTGCCCTACTCCACTTGATTTAATCAAGATATAGGAATCATTAAAAGATAATCTTAGCCTCTATCCATTCTGCAGAAAACACTTTAGTATCATGGGAATGAGTTAGGAATTCTAATTTCCTAAGTGTTTCATGAAATTTTCACTACTTAGTTGTCCATTTGAACCAAGATCTTGAGATCTCCAGTCAACAAAGTAGGGTTACCATTGCAAAAACTCTTACGTAATAGGCTTTAATCTCATTCCTCTGGATAGGCAACGTACTTGATCTCTAGACAAACTTTTCATAAGTGGATTCGCAATATTCTCCTTTGATTTTACATAATCTATGGAGATAACGTAATTTGAGATCAGTTGCTTAATGGTGTTGTGTCTACGATGAATATGTCTAGACTTATCATTATACATACTGCTTCGAGCCTTTCCAATTGCTGATTGACTATCACAATGTATACTTATCGCATGTACTAGCTTGGGCCAACATGGAACATCTTCTAAGAAATTTCGAAGCCATTCTGCTTCTTCTCCAGCTTGTCCAAAGCAATAAACTCAGATTTCATCGTTGATCGAGCTGTGCACGTTTACTTTGTTAATTTCCATGATACAACAGCTCCGCCAATGGTGAATACATAACCGCTAGTGGACTTGAAATCCTTCATATCAGATATCTAATTCGCATCACAATATCCCTCTAGTACCGCAAGATATTTTGTGAAGTGTAATCCATAGGTTGAGGTATATTTCAAGTACCTTAGAACCCTCATCAAAACCTTCCAATGATCACGGTTTAGATATTTGTAAATTTACTAAGTTTATTTACCTCAAAAGCAATATCCGGTCGAGTGCAGTTTGTAATATACATAAGACTGTCAATTATTTGTAAATACCTTAGTTGTGATACGCTTTCTCCTGTATTCTTGACTAAGTGTATACTCGGATCAAGAGGAGTTCTTGCAGGACTTTCCTTAAACACGTCAAACTTCTTAAATACTTTTTTCATGTAGTGAGATTGTGAAAGTACAATTCCATCTTGCATTTTAGAGATTTTAATCCCTAGGATTACATCTGCCACACCCATATCTTTCATATCGAAATGCTTTGTTAGCATTTTTTGGTGTTAAAGCAACATTTCGTGATTATTGCCTATTATTAACATGTCATCACATATTGACATACAATTACATAGGCATTCGGTGTATGTTTAATATATATACATTTGTCACAATCATTGATCTTGAATCCATTTGACAACATTATTTTGTCAAACTTTTGGTGCCATTGTTTAGGAGCCTGTTTTAATCCATATAAGGACTTAACAAGTTTACACACTTTGTGTTTTTGGTTAGGAAAAACGAACCCTTCAGGTTGCTCCATGTAAATATCATCTTCTAACTCACCGTTTAGGAATGCTATTTTTACATCCATTTGATGAATCTCAAGATTGTGTATTGCCGCAATTGCAATTAACAACCTTATCGACGTGATTTTAGTCACGGGTGAGTAGGTATCAAAGAAGTCAAGTCCTTCTTTTTGCCTATATCCTTTAGCAACCAATCTAACCTTATATTTATCAATTGATCCGTCAAGTTTCAATTTCTTTTTGAATATCCATCTGTATTCTAAAGGCTTGTTACCAGGAGGTAAATCAATCAACTCCCATGTATGGTTTTGCATTATAGAATCTATCTCATCATTGATAGATTCTTTCCAATGCGATGTTTCCAGTGTAGACATTGTTTCATCGAAAGTCTTTGGATCGTCATCTACCATATAGGTTAGAAAATTTAGGCCAAACGTTTTGGAAGTCCTAGCCCTTTTACTATGTCTTGGTTCTTCCTCATTTGAAGTTCCATTGGTAGTTTTATATGTTCTCTTATTAGAGCTCGTATTTTCCTTATCTTTGCAAGGAAATATATTTTCAAAGAATGTCGCATTTCTTGATTCAATTATGGTCCCTTCGTGTACGTCTTATATTTTGAATTTGTGTACAAGAAATCGATATGCACTACTATTATTGACGTATCTAATAAATGTGCAATCTATCGTTTTATAACCGATTTTCACTTGTTTAGGTATAGGTACCTCAACCTTAGTTAAATGTCCCCACACTTTCAAGTAATGGTAGGATGGAGGATGGCATTTCAATAGTTCATATGATGTCTCTTCCATTTTCTTAAGAGGTATTTTATTAAGAAGACTATTTGCCATTAAAATAGCCTCCCTCTACATGTTCTGTAGTAAACCCGAACTTATTAACATGACATTCATGATTTTTTTAAGTGTTTGATTTTTGCATTCTACAATACCATTTGATTGAGGGGAGTAAGGTACCGTTGTTTGATGAATAATTTCATGTTCAGAACAAAAGTCTTCAAACGGTGCCCCATATTTACCTCCTCTATCACTGCGAATATTCTTTATTCATTTTTCAAGTTGTGTTTCAACTTCAACCTTATAGATTTTGAATGTATCTAAGACTTTGTCTTTACTTCTCAAAAGAAAGATATAGCAAAACATTGTACAATCATCAATAAATGTCACAAAGTATTTCTTACCGCCCGAGTTTGTACAAATTTTAGATCGCATATATCGCTATGGATCAATTCAAGAGGGGTTGTGCTCCTTTGTATTGAATAGAACAATGTTTTAGCCAATTTTGTTGTAACACATATAATCACATTTATGATTAGGATTGATTTTATGCTCCGAAATTAAATTTTGATTCATTAGTTTGCGCAACGATTTATAATTCACATGTCCTAATCGACTATGCCACAAACATGAAAACTTAAGCAAGTAAACGAAATTTATATTTTTATTCATAACGACTGATTTCGGTACAATTGTAAGAACGTTCAACTTGAACATTCTATAATACATGTATCCTTTCCCTACATACATTTCATTCTTAGACAACACAAATTTATCGGATAGAAATATAAGTTTAAAATCATTCTTGCTAAGTAGAGAACCGGACACTAAATTCTTTCATATATCTGGCACATGTAGGACATTGTTGAGGACGAGTTCTTTCCCGGATGTCATCTTCAAAGTGACTTTACCTTGTCCTTCAATTTTGGAACTTGCAGAATTTCCCATGTATAGTTGCTCCCCATTCAATTCTTGATAGTTGAAGAATATCGCTTTGTCCACACACACATAGTGGGTAGCGCCGGTGTCAATCCACCATTCTCTAGTATTTACAATCATGTTGCATTCGGACACTACTGCAGATAAACTCATTTCCTACAGTCCATCGGATAAAGTGTTATTTGCAACCATGTGGGCTTGAGCATTCTTCTTTTGCTTTCGATATTCACTTGAACGATGTCTAGCCTTACCACAGTTATAACAATTCCCTTTGAACTTCATAGCCTTCTTGGAATTGTCTCTCCGCGGTGCATAATTAGGAGTCTTTCGTTTCTTGTTTGTTGCATTTGGTTCCATTTCAACAAAATTTGCACCACCTTGATCAACCGGCCTTCGTTCGGTTTTTCGATTGTCTTCTTCAATCCTCAAGTGCACAATCAATTCTTCCAAGTTCATTTCCTTGCGTCTGTGCTTGAGGTAATTTTTGAAATCTCTCCACATAGGAGGGAGTTTCTCAATAATGGCAACCACTTGGAATGATTCAGTCAATTCCATTTTCTCGACATGGATGTCGTGCAACAAGAATTTAATCTCTTACACTTGACTAATCACGATTTTGGAATCCACAATCTTGTAGTCCAAAAATTTGTCGATAATGAACTTGTTTGTTCCGGCATTCTCAGTCTTGTACTTTGTCTCCAAAGAATCCTATAGTTTCTTGGCTGATTCCTTTGAACTATACATTCCATATAGTGTATTATCCAATCCGTTTAGGATATAGTTCTTACATAAGAAGTCCGGTGTTTTCATGCATCCAAAGCAATAATTGATTCACGATTATTTTCCTCTTCTTGTACTGTCAGTGCATTTTTCTTTAGAAATTTAGCCAAATTAAGAGTGGCGAGATAAAACAATATTTTTTGTTGCCACATCTTGAAGTCTACTCCTGCAAATTTTTTCGACTTTTCCCCATGTGGGATAATAGTATTATGCAACGGTATGGCCTACCACATTATTGAAACCATTTTGACTTGACGAAATCCCAATGGTAGTCATTTCTATTATACAAACATAAGTTCAACAAAATGATGATAATATTGGTGGAGGAATAGTACACAAAGCACTATTCAAACAAAGTAATGGTTGTCCACAATCAACCACAAAGACACAAAAATTTGTTTTAAGATTGTTGGAGACTACTTATAAAAGACTACTTATAAAAAGGGCTATGTAAGAGTTGGTTTTTGATATATTTGTTTGACCAGTTTTAACTAGTAAGAGCGTGATCAAAACACAATTTATATGAATGAAAATTTGGACAGAGTTTCGGTATAACGATTGCGCAAAACAAGGATTAAGAAGGAGTAGAAATAGAGAATAATCCAAGGCGAGACGTTATCTCTTTCCTTAAGAGAAATTATCCCGCTATGGTGCTCACGGTGAATGACATTTGTCTCCCAAAATACAATGAATTCACAACTTGTGGTAGTAGCACTTCAAACCACAAGAAATCGATGAATTTTTGACAGAATTTTCCCTCTACAAAGGAGATGCCTGAAAATGCTATGGAATTAGAAATGAGAGAATTGTAAGAGGAGAATGAATGCTCAATGCAATTGATATACCCAAAACCATGTCCATAAGGTCCTATTTATAGATGTAGAAAAGGTGTAAATGAAGTAGTGTGGGCCAAAACATGCATCCTTTCGAAAAGTTACAACACTTGGCCAAAACCTGCATCCTTTCGAAAAGCTGCAACACTTCATTTCTTTCAACTTTGGTCTGCAATTTCTTATTCATCTGAAATTGGTTTCGAGATTCTAAATATATCACAACAATCTGCTCGAGGAGTATAATAAGTTGGTCTATTTACTTTTATAATTGGACCATCGGATTAAATTCGAATATTTGGGCGAAATTCACACGTAGTTACATCTTTTCATGTTCCACTTTTACACACCTTTTCATTTTCCAATTTTGGATAATTATTTGAACCAATTCCCAAAATTATTGGTAGAGAGAGGGGAAAAAAAATTTAGTGGTTCATATCCTACTTGTTAGAGGATGAATTAGTAGTTGTCGTTCTTGTTTCTTGAGTACATTTAGTGGTTCATATCCTTGTCATATTCCTTGGATTATTTAGAAGTGGTGAATCTATGGAGAGTCATTATTGAAATAGTCTTTTTTTAAGCTTAATGCAAATAACTTAAATTCATATATATCCAGTTCCACCCAAAAATGAAAAGGTGATTGAGGAAAAATTGTAGTGGAAATGCATGAGAAGGGGGGCCAATTGCCAATCTTTTAGCCAACATCTGACTAGACAGACTAGTGGTATTAACTGGGAGGATATCAACTGTATTGAAAATAACACCAGGCCAATATCCACTACATGTTCCAGACATGTCCCTATGTAAAAATTTGGTATATCATTATTCATTGAATAAACACAAGAATTTAATGAGGGCATCATCCTGTCGACTTTAATTGGAGTGGGTTTCATAATTATGTTCCATGAACATGCACAAATTTACATATGGCCCTAGGTAGCTAGTGAAAGAGAGGAGATGAGGGGCCTTTTATCCAAAACGTAGAGAGCATTATCTAGCTAGTTTCGTGCATGTTCTGTGATCAAGGAATTGACACTGATAAACTCGAGCAATATGCAATGAACCTTTGTTAATGGATGCTCGGTGCAATATTTCTAGTTAGACATCTCTTTCTCAATCCTCGTATTTCAACAAGCAAGGCAGTATTGAAAACAAGTCGACGATAGTCTTCAATTTTATATAACGTCCCCCCTTAACAGATATTCCAGACTATGCTAAAGAAGTAAAATTATTAATTCCATTAATTTTTCTATGCATCAATACAAATGCTGATATCCTAATAGGTCCCTTTTGGCATTATTCTTTCTTTCAACATTACATTAGTCTTAATACAAGATTTTCAGGAGGAAGTGATTTCAAACTTCTCCTTGGAATCATACACTTGTATCTTAAGGTATATTGTCATCTCCTGCAATTTTTGGGGTGTTAGAGTCAAGCTGTGGAGAGGCGGCTGGAGATCGGTTAATGTGAAAATACCATTTTGCCCAAAAGAGATAGTTGAGGAAGTTGATGAAGCTTAGAACTGCTAGCATCCAATAAAAGAGGTCCAATCTATCTTTGTTGAGATTGTTATCACTGAGCCATCCACCACCAAAGGAAGAATTTGAGGTCACCTTATTCACAAGAGACACAAGTACTGAGCTTAAATAAAAGCCAAATGAGTATGAACAGTAAGTTATGGCTGTCAAAAATGATTGCATCCCTTTTAATGACTGCTTGTAGAAGAATTCAATAAGCCCAACTGCCGTAAACATTTCCGATAACCCGAAGATCAAAAACTGCGGCGTTATCCAAAATATGGATATTATTTTGTTTGAATTCACTGCAGCATTCCTTCTCTTGTTCTCTAATAGGGCAGCTGAGATCATGGAAAAAGTTGCCAAGAATAGGCCAAATCCTATTCTCTGTAGAGGGGTGATCCCGGATTCGTGCTTCGTGATTTTTCTAGCGAAAGGGACAAAGAATGTATCGTAAAGAGGGACTATGAATATTAGCATTATGTAAGGAATGGCTTGAAGAGAAGCTGGAGGAATATGGAAAGATTTTGTTAGGTGCGTATCCATTGCACTCCCTTGTTGGACAGAAAATGTCTGTAATTGTGCAAGTATTGTATTGAAGATAATTGTGCATGCAAATATAGGAATAATTGAAAGCAATATCTTCACTTGTTCAACTTGGTTTACTGTGCAAAGACTCCATGGACTTTCCTTTCCATCTTCAACTTTAATGCAAGCCTTGTTCAAGAATCTGAATAATCAATCACAACACGACAGATACATCAAAATCCGTCAATAAATATTTATCTCCTTGTTGAATTTATATATGAATTATTCGAAAAACAAAATTGTTACCTGAATCTTTCAGACAGAAAAATATTGTTGGTACTGTCACTATTAGCGGGTTGTTCCTTGGATTGGTTCCAATGAAGCATCCAAGGATCAGATGAATACACTTGCTTTCGCTTTAAAGTAGCAGCCACAAACACCTGATATTAAAAATAAAAATCAAAACATGTATCAGAAGACAGCACTTGGATCAACGGAAACTTATTTTAGAACCTGTTTGATGTAAATTTTTTGAAAAATAGATTATGTGAAAAGTTACTTTTTTTGGAAAATGTGTGGATAAAAAATAGGATAAAGATACGATTTCACGCACGTACAAAATTATTTTATTGACAAGATGTGGTTGAAAATGATTATAAGAAGAATGAATTTTAAAAAAAATCTGTATCAAGCAGAGACTTATTCAACAATCGGGGGTTATTTTATTTCTAATCAGCACAAAAGAACAAGATTGCATTCGTAATTAGAGAATCAAATAGTTGGCTTCACTCTATAAACATTAAAAACACATAAATTTCATTTAAATATGACACCAAATTCGCATAAAATAATAAAAAAACTTTACTCAGGGTCACAACCAACTTTATATATGATAAAATATCCTCACTAAATTAAGTGTGGAGGGAATATTTAAAGATGTCTAGCCAAAAGTATCTCAAATTTTGGAAACAAAGTAAGAGAACCCCTCCACTAGGAAACGCTAATAGCCAATTTGTTGTCTGTAAAGGCTTCATCAAATATAAGTCAGAAAATTGATAAAGTAAAAGAAGTGTGGCATTACTTGTGCAATAGGGGTAAAGATGCTTCCTTGAGGAGGTTTGTTCCTGTAAAGAAGTGTACCACAAATCAAGCTTATCAATCCCATAGCCATGGCCGTGGCCGAGACGCCGAATCCTACATCCATTCCAGAATGTGTTTGAACATAAACTAGGACAGTCAAGGCAACAAGTTCACCCATGGAGAAGGCAAAATAGGCAGCATTGAAGTATCTTGAGAGTTTCTTGGATTGTTTTGAACCATTGATTTGGTCAGCACCATAAGCTATCATGTTTGGCTTAACGCACCCACTTCCTAATGCCACCAAATAGAGTGCCAAAAAAAATAGGAAGGCTTTGAATCCCTTTGCCTTTTCACAGTGGTCTCCATCAAGTAACATATTGCATTTGAGCGGTTTTAGTTGAGGCAGATGGGCTTGCACTGACAGCAATATGAAACCCTACAATTTTGCACGGTCTTCGATGAAAAAATGAATCTAAACTGCATCTAACAGTTTAAGCCTTTAGAGAAGGCGGTTCAAGAATAAAGAGAAAAACATACCGAAATTTCGACAAAGCCAAAGATGAGGAGGGTCCAGAAACAACCAAGATAAGAATCAGAAAGGTAGCCTCCAAGGAGTGCAAGGATAAAAATAGTCCCTATAAAGTTTGTGACAATGTTTGCAGATTTTGACAGGGAAAAGTGCATCTCATTTATCACATAAGTTATCAGGTTGTTCCCAACAGCTGCTATTGCCATTATCTCAAATCCTTGAAGCCCTGCACGAAGACAAAACTTAATATGCATATACACACACCAGACAAAAAAAGTACAACAAACAAGAAGAAAATCCAAACTATCCTTAAACTAGAGAGAGAGAGAGAGACCTAGAACAAAGGAAGCAGCTCTCATTCCACCATGCTTAGTAGGGTTTGAAGGTTTTCCTCTCCAATCAACAGAAATCTCTTCAAAAATATTCTCTCCCTTGTCCTCTTGTTTTCTTGTATTCTCCATATCCTGAACCTTTCACTCACATGCACAGAGCGATATCTTCTAAGCAAAGCTATTTTTCAGATCCCTTTTACAACTCTATATGTTTCTGTAAAAAGACTTGTTAATTTTCTCACTGAATTTGAGAGAAACAGCCCCTCTATTTATACATACTTATACATCTCACTTCAACAGTCTCTTTTGGATATTGTGACCAATGGGAACCACACCCAGAAATCCAACAGCAAATTATACACGTTTCTGTCGCATTACACCACTTAGCACCGAGGAATTACACTAAATACTGTTTCAACGTCTTAACCAAACCTTTACACCTTCCTAATTAATTATATTATGAAAAAGTATTCTTCCATAAGTATAATAGTCATCACGAGGTACCAAAAAAAGGAAAAGAAAAAAAAAGCTTCAACAGTCTCTTTTGGATATTGTGACCAATGGGAACCACACCCAGAAATCCAACAGCAAATTATACACGTTTCTGTCGCATTACACCACTTAGCACCGAGGAATTACACTAAATACTGTTTCAACGTCTTAACCAAACCTTTACACCTTCCTAATTAATTATATTATGAAAAAGTATTCTTCCATAAGTATAATAGTCATCACGAGGTACCAAAAAAAGGAAAAGAAAAAAAAAAGAAAAAAAAAGCAAAATCAGCTAGTCAATTCTATTTTTGATAGTGACAGTTGACAATTTCATCCGCAATTGAATGTATGAAATCCACTCATGAATGCTCGTCAAGGTGTGCGAAAATTTTTAGACGACTTTTCAAAATATAATAATAAAAATTTTCATTGATTGAGTGTTTTGCACATAAGATATATGTCTATAAGGATAAAATCGAGCTGTCAGAAGAAAAATAATCACTTACTTGATTGATCCTCACATGTGAATGGACCTGTACCGACCCACATGGATAAAAAAATGTAAATAAAGCCTCCCCACACACCTCATTGTGAGTGTATGTCATCTAGGGTGTCAAAATTTTGCTGACACCCTAGCATGATTCATGTTTATAATCATATTATCAGTGTATAAATCAAATCACAGCCGTTTAAATCTAAATCAGACTGTAGTCCAAAGTCAGAGATTACTACCTTTTGTGCCGCCTTCGCCTTGTAGTGCCAACCTGCCTAATCCAAATATCAGCTTTAACAACAAAGTATTTAATTATGGACTCTGTATATTTTATATCATATTTCCTTATTTAATTTCCTACATTTGACATTTGCCAACATAAACATATTACAGAAATTGAAGTTAAAATTTTGTATAATGCCTTCTAAATTGTCTAATAATTTGTACTGAACACATTCACGAAATCTCTTTGCTTGTTCTATATACAATCTTATTAACGATCATTTCACAAGGCTTCAATTCTTTACTTTTATATTCTGTAGAAAAGATTTTTGAGTAAACTACTTTATGTCAGCTTCCTGTAAAAGTTCTATTAATCAGACAAAGTTCTTTCAGAAAATTATCCAAATACGTTTAGAAGTATCTTCTTAATTTCAAAAGTTGATTTGACTTTTTAAAAATCTTGTTAAAGGAATGCTAAGACTAAAAGTCATATATGTTTATTTTATGCCGTGAAATAAGACAAGACAAAACGCATGCATGTGACCTCCAATAATAATCAATCAAAACTAATTAAGGTTAGACACAATCAAAGGATACAAGTACTATAGTGAATGCTAGCAATCAAGTGAATGAAGTTTAATTAAGTCCATTGTAGCAGCTCCCTGAAATCAAGAGCTAGATGCCTTTCCATTAATGCTCTTCTTTAAGCTCGATCCCGATCCCGATTTCGATCCCGATCCTAATTATATTAACATAATGTGACTTTTCAAGAAAGTAAACTTATGACATATTTGATAATGTAACTTTTTACATATAGATGGATTCTTTAATTGATTGGTAGAGAAAATTATTCAAGAAAGTTGCACTTGTGTGACTTTTTAAAGTTAAGTCGATCATTTCCATCTCAAATTGGGTATCAATAATAAATTTAATGTTTCATTTTGTAATTGATATAATTTCATAAAATTAAAAATAACTTTAACTAGAAGTCCATTTGGAATAAATAATTAGATGTCCAACATGATTAAGATATCATTAATTATCTTATTTCTCTTTTCGGATCAATCTCACTAATTAGTTTCTGCATCTAAAAAAATAAAGATTTGGTGGACTTGAAATATTTAGATATATAAATTAATTAAATACACAAAAGGTGCACGATGATTATTATATTTCAACATTTATTGCTCCTTATACCAATAAAAGTCAATAAACTTAAAAATTAATTATAAATATGTTATGGGTTAATTAATACTATCTGGACTAAAGTTATGCATAGAAAATGTTGAAATTACATATGTTATATTAGTTGTTAAACAGTAACATAAGCTAAACACCCGTATTTAAGGGATCATTCCTGAGTGGTTAAAGGCTCTAATACAAAAAAGGTAGAAATAGATATGGAACTGAGAAACTATATATGATTGATTGTAACTCTTGTTGAGAATTAAAAACCACAATTTTATCTCATCAAAAGCAATAAAATTATACTAAGAAAAAAAATAAGAATTCGCAAAATTTATAGATGTTAGCATCAATATGACATCATGTCTTCTTCTGTCATTGCAGTAATTGATTATGATGAAAATCAGGCCATGTTTGAGCCCCCATTAATTTGAAGAAATTAGAAATGTATTATAGAATAGTGATTGACGGAAAATGTGTGGTTGAAAAAGAAGAATTTTTATTTTGATTTACATGTAATATTATTTTAATGAAGAATGTGTGGTTAAAAATGAATACTGTAGAAAAAATAATGTAAAGTAAATGATGACAAACAGTGGCTAAGTTTACAAGAAAAAAATCATAAACTTAATTTTTCTATAACCTCTATTTCGTTTTTATGAAAATAAAACAAACTATAATGATAGTTTCCTATTTATACCCAAAAAAATTAAAAAATTAAGACAATCAAAATTACAATTGTCAAATTCCTAAACTATCATGAATGAAATTTTAGCTGCTGAAGGAACTCTATGAAACGATAATAATTAAGCTCTATAATGTAATAATTCTCCACATATTTCACTAGCTACTTAACGACTATTTATCATATACCTGTTTAATAAATTTAGTAGAATATCTAAAATTTGAAGAATAAAAATTCGACCCATTCACGTTTAGATAGATTCCCCTAGTGCAAGAACTATTATGAAGGAAACATCAATGTTGGTGAAGAAAGATTGTCGGCAATGTGGACATGTGTGAATTATAAGTTTATGTTTTAAATTTTGATTGGTGTATTTTTTTTTTTTTTTAGTCCTAACATTGTTGGTTGATGACTGCCCTGTATTGTCATGCAAAGTTGATGCTTACACATAAATAATTGTTGTTTTTTATAGAAAGTAATGTAGGTAAGTTAATTCACACACACCCAAATGGTGTCGTACGTGTTCTCCAAAATTGAGAATATACGAATAGATTTAGCGCCCGTTTAATAAAGTTTTTGATAAAAATTTTAGTAGATTCTGATAAAATTGATGAAATGTATAATTGAAATATTGATAAAAACTATGAATTTCTGAAAATGTGTTGTTAAAGTTAAAGTTTGATCGATTGTAAAGTTGATATAAGTTCTTTTGCTAGATTTCAATGTTGCACCACTTCAAACCTCACTTACCACCACAGTCAAAAATCAATTCACAATGGTAGACTAGCAACAAATTTTGTGGGCACAATTTAATATTCAAATAGGACGACCAGTAATAATTATTCTTTTAATTTAGTTAGTTTCTTTAATCTTAAAAATTTTAAAAAATTTTGGACAAAAAAGAAGACTCGCATCGTTTAGCGTATAGGCCTGTAGTAAACAACAGCAATTCCTCTTGTACAGAGGAATTGCTACCAGAAATCCAATAAATGTTGCATTTGATTCGTCCATCCCACCACCCTCTCTTTTTTGCCATTATCCGACAGATTGCTGCCAAGTATCTTCTGGTGAAATTCTGGCAGTTATTTTCTGTACATGCAGTAGAACTGATTTAACAATCATCAATAGAGGTTAATTTTTTTATTTTTTATTTTTACGATGTTTACATATGTGAAGCTTTTTCCTTACATCTCATGTCTAGGCTACCTGAGTACCATAGAATACTGATAGAAACTCTTATAATCAACCATGAGTTGTGATGCAACAACTATGATGTACTAATTTCTTGGCCCTAGCTAGAAATATTAAACTTCTAACACATCCAATGATCTTTTATTTGAATAAATTACATGTAATTCACATCTTTACTTATTGAAAACTTGAATTTGTTTGTCTTTGCTCCAATTTATGTGGGCTCAAAAGACCTTTATATGGGATGCATCCCACTTATGTGTTGTAGGCTTGTAATGGAGCAAACTCTATTTTCTAATCTCAACTTTGTCCCCCCCAAACTTTAACTCGAGTGGAAAAAATATTTAGTGGCAATTAGATTCGAGTTTTTTTACTTCTCGTGTAGCAAATACGAATTTTATAAATGTTGTGGTGCATAAATGATACGTGGCAATAACATATTGGTTAGTCGGCTGAAAAATTGAGATCCACTGTATGACAACCCAAAACACCCACAATCTTCAATTTGCATGATTTCAAGTACAATGTAGGATGACATTTGAACCTGTTAAACTCTTTTGAGTCTTAAGAATTTAGCCCCCGTCTTGCCTTCATTCTCTTTCTTTTTTTTTTTTCTTTTTTTTTTCCTCTTATTTTCAATCACACAATTCTTCATAAATAATATTACACGTAAATCAAAAATTTTTCATTTTTTTCCACCGCACATTCTTTAAAAAATACTATTCAAACCATTAAAATTTGAAGAAAATGGGGGCCAAACAGGGACTTAATGTAAGTGACTAAATTAATTTGGGCTTAAACAAGTTTGAATTAGTGAAAGTATAAATAAATAAGTTATTAGTATACAATATATTATTTTGTGTTGCATTTATATAAGTGGTGAGTGTATAATTCGATGTGCCAAACATAACTTAAATGATGAAAGATTTATCCATTAATGGTGCATTTGTTTACACCACACTATATTAGTGAGGATAAAATTAAGTCGGATTAAGGTGCAAATTAAGTTGCGTTTGGTGCGATTTGTTATCGGAAAAATATTTAATTATCTAAAAATAAAAAATTATATCAATAT